AAAAAGAAAAAGAAAAAGGAAGAAGATGCTGACACACTGCTGGCCAGAAACTTGGGAAAGAGGTAAGCATCAGAAAGAATTTGAAGGCTGGGTACAGTGGCTCACAATCCCAGTGCTTTGGGAGGCCAAGGCGGGAGGGTTGCTTGTGCCCAGGAGTTCGAGACAAGCCTAGGCAACAGGACAAAACCCCATCTCTACAAAAAATACAAAAATTAGCCAGATGTCATGGTACATGCCTGTGGTCCCAGCTACGCAGGAGGCTGAGGTGAGAGGATCACCTGAGCCCAGAAGGTTGAGGTTGCAGTGAGCCATGATCACACCACTGCACTCCAGCCTGGGCAACAAAGTGAGACCACTTTTCAGAAAAAGAGAGAACTTGAACTAGGAAGTTGGTCTTTGAGATTCACTACCTTCCCATCAACATTCGTCCTGCTTTTGCTCTTTCCCTGCCCCTCACTGAGCCCTCTGTGTGCCTCTGTCCCTGGCCTGTCCTTCCAGGCCCAGGTCAGTTTTCTCTTTCTCCACCAGGTCTACCTGAGGATGCAATCTGCACTGCCTGCATAAACTTCGTATCATTTAATTATTCAGCATCTTTTTTTTTTTTTTTTTTTTTTGAGACGGAGGCTTGCTGTGTCGCCCAGGCTAGAGCGCAGTGGTGTAAATCTCAGTTCACTGTAATCTCCTTCTCCCAGGTTCAAGTGATTCTCCTGCCTCAGCCTCCCAAATAGCTGGGATTACAGATGTGCATCACCACACCTGGCTAATTTTTTTGCATTTTAGGTACAGATGGGGTTTCATCACGTTGGCCAGGCTGGCCTTGAACTCCTGACCTCAGGTGATCCACCCGCCTTGGCCTCCCAAAATTCTGGGATTACATGTGTAAGCCACTGATCTCGGCCAAAGCTATGTCTTTAAAAAACACTTCCTGATTTGGATTTCAGAGCTGAGATTACAAATCTAGGAGTTAGAGCCGGGCGCGGTGGCTCAAGCCTGTAATCCCAGCACTTTGGGAGGCCGAGGCGGGTGGATCACGAGGTCAAGAGACCGAGACCATCCTGGTCAACATGGTGAAACCCCGTCTCTACTAAAAATACAAAAAATTAGCTGGGCATGGTGGTGTGTGCCTGTAATCCCAGCTACTCA